TGGCTTGGTTTGTTTTTTTCTAGTTCCTTGAGATATAACATTAGGCTCTTTACTTCAGATTTTTTTTCTTCTAGTGCTGGTGATGGAACCCAGGGGCTTTCACATGTGAAGTAAGCACTCTTATCACTGAGCTATGTCCCCAGCTCTTGGAGTTTTGAAATAGCATCTCACTATGTAACCCAAGTTGGCCTCAAACTCGTGATTTTCTTGTCTCCAACTTATTTTATTTTATTTTCTTATTATTGCTGTACTGGGCGGTACACTGTGACATTTACTAAAGTTTTTAAAATATATCATAGTTGAATTCATCCCCTCCATCATTCTCCTTTATCTCCCCCTCTACCCATTCCTGGAATAGTTTCAGCGTGTCTCATTTTTCCATTTCATACATGAGTACCTAGTATTTGAAAGTTTGGGGTTACAGTTCTACACCACCACGCTTGCTGCCAAGATCTTTCTTTTTTTATATAGATGTTTATTGTTACAAATTTATCAGAACTAGCATCTCATATGTTTTTACATATTGTTTGTCCATTTTCATTTGTCTCAAGAAGATTTTTTGTTTCCCTTTTGATCTTTTTTATCCATTGGTTCTTTAGGAGAATTGTGCTTAATTTCCTCACACTTGTGAATTTTCCAAGATTTCCTGTTATTGATTTCTAATTTCATGTCATTGTTACTGAAACTTATTTGATATTATTTAATTTTCTTAAATTTCTTCATATATTTTTGTGGCCTTACACATGATCTACACAGGAGCACATTCCATGTGTACTTGAGAATAATGTATTCTGCTGCTATTGGATAGACTGCTGTATGTATGTCTGTTAGGTCCCCTGGGCCTAAAGTATAGTTTAAGTCCAATGTTTCCTTATTATTTTCGACCTGGATGATTACCATATGTAGAAAATGGGGTAGTGAAGCCTACTATTACTGTATCTACCTCTCTCTTTATATCCTTTGATAGCTGCTGAATATATTTAGGCTTCAATCTTGGGTGCACACATATTTACAATGATTATATCCTCTTGATGAACTGACTGTTTTATCATTAGATAATCTGTTTTTTGCCTCTTTATATTTTTTGACATAATTTATTATGTATGACATAAGTATAGCTAAGCTACCTCTGCTTTCTTGATTTCTATTTTCATGGATGGTCTTTTGCCATGTCTTCACTTTTAGGTTATGTGTGTTATTAAATATAAGTTGAGTTTGCTATAGACAGAATATAGTTGGTCTTATTTTCTCACTCATTCAGTTATCTATGTCTTTTTTTTTCTTGGAGAATTTAATCCATCTACATTCAAAGTAATTATTTATAGGTAAGAACATATTACTGCCATTTGAAAGTTGAGTTTGCTATAGACAGAATATAGTTGGTCTTATTTTCTCACTCATTCAGTTATCTATGTCTTTTTTTTTCTTGGAGAATTTAATCCATCTACATTCAAAGTAATTATTTATAGGTAAGAACATATTACTGCCATTTGAAATTTTGTTTCCTGGTTGTTTTGTCCCTACTTTGCTTCTTTCTTTCTCTCTTCCTGTCTGCCTTTCTGGTTTGATGGTTTTCTGTAGTGCTATGGTTGAATCCTTTCTGTTCATGTTTTGTGAACCTACTACAGATTTTTGTTTTGTGGTTACTGCTATGGCTTTGTCTCTCCAGAGTTCATGTGTTAAAAGGATGGCCTCCATGGTAGCAATGTTGAAAAATAGTAGAACTTCTAGGAGGTGGAGCTTAGTAGGAGGTATTAGATTATTTGGGGCACTGCACTTGAAGAGAATTAATATATCTCTCAAGAAACCCTAGTTAGTTCCTGAAACTGTGAGCTGCATAAAAGAGTAGCCTG